CTACTTTCGCTAGCCAGATCTGGCACATGCTCGGGAAGGCTGCGTTCACAACAAAACTGACGAACACTGGCATTCGATCACATGCATGCGCTCCTACACTGGCGATCCTACACAATGAATCCGGGCGCACTACGCGGCGAGAGAAGCTACGTCCATTGCCGAACCCTTGCTGGGCAGTGTGTGCGCGTGTCGCTCGGCCACCGTCGTCAAACGACGATTAATGGTGGTGACCACCCCTTTGGCATCGCAATTTTTCAGACTGGGAGGTCCCCATTGCCCTGGTTGCCTCGCACAATTTACTGGATCTAACTCTTCCTCGCCATTGCGAATGCAAGCGAGGACGCCGCGGTTCAACGAGGGGGGAGGGGCGAGAAAGAGAGAGATGGGAAGAGCGCGGGGGGCGACGCAGAGGGTGGGATGGGCAAGCCACGCTTTGTACGTGAGTTTGTCGGGCCCTGGGGAGGAGGACCCACCCCGCTTCGGAGGCTTCTGGAAGTCTTCAAGCCCAGGGAGAGGGAGGTCCAGGGGCTCCGACAGAGGGAAGTTCTCCTCTATGAAGGCTTTTTGGAATGGGGTGTCCTCTACACGAAGCACCGTGTCTCCACGGCCCTCCTGGGAGCGCCGGATGCCTCGGGGGATGAGACGGCGGCCCTGGGTCTTCCAAAACAACGCTCGACGGAACATCTTCTACTTGACACGCGCCGCGTTGCAGGCGGGCACTTCCGACTCAGACCCCCCCTCGTTCTGGATGCTCACTGTGCCGTCGGAGATGTGGAGGTGCCGCGCGCCCACAGCAGCGCTGGCGATGAGACGAGCTGCGAACCGTTGGTCTAGGCGCCAGACCGCTCGAGCCACTGCCCGATGCGCCATGGCCTTCGCGCCCAGATCGTCGGCGGTGTCGTCGCCGACGCTGGTTCTCATCAGGTTGTTGCGGGCCATCTATGCGGCCAGCGTCATCTGCCTCTTCACACACTCCCACTTTTCATGTACAGTCATATCCTTCAGCGCACAGGCCTGCGGGTTGGTCTCCAGCTGCTTCGCGCGCGCCTCGGTGGTGAAGAGAAAGGATGGGATGGCCCGCTCATTCTTGCGCGGCTCCTCTCGTGTCTCCAGTTTGACCTCGATTATCGCATGGTCACTGACTTGCCACTGAGATAGCTCCTGATCGTCTACTTCCCGTTGACAGAAGTCGTGATTTCACGCACGTAACGTGGAGGCAACAACATGGAGATTCGATCGACGTACGTCATCTGGTCCGTGTGCTTGTCACAAGGCGATGGCACGGGCGTGATAATCTCCGCCGCCATGTGCCGGGAGCTGCTGATTAGTTGTCTCCAAAAAGGCTCGGCGCGACTGGCTCGTCCGCGCGTTGATCTCTGCGCCTGCCAAGCTCTCGGACGAAGGAGACGCCCATGGGGTTGCCACTGAAGTTCAGGTCGCCGGGCGCCACAAATAGTCGAAGCTGGGGGGCCTCATGCGCCCGCCTGCTATTATCTTTCCAGCATGTGTTCACCCTCCGCTTGTCCAGGTCACTGAGCGCATAGTTGTGGATGTTGCAGATGCGAACCTCCACGCCCGTCTTGAGGTTCAAAATCACTACTGTCTATACACGGCCTTCTACAATCACCTTAGTGACCGTGACGGAGCGCTCGTGATGCTCCAAGATAGGGACGAGGATGGCGACCCCACCTGCCCCAGGGGAGCCAGTGCCACTGAAGAAAGCCTTGTAATGGTATGTGGTGCGATTGAGAATGTTCTGCAGCGTCATTCCAAAACCGTGCATTTCTTGCAATACAATGATACCGGAGAACAACCCAATCATAATCGTTTTAAGGTTACGGGGTTCCCTGGGCTATGAGGCTATAGGGCTATAAGGCTCTGGGGCTACAGGGCTATAGATAGGGCTACGGGGCTTTAGGACTATAGGGCTATAGGGCTTTAGGCATATCGGGCTATCAGGTTATATGGCTATAAAGCTATAAAGACATAGGGCTATAGGGCTGTAGGGCCATAGGGCTATAGGGCTATAGGGCTATAGGGCTACAGGGCTATAGGGCTATAGGGCTACAGGGCTATAAAGCTATAGAGACATAGGGCTAGCGGGCACCCAGGCACCCGGGCACCCAGGCAACCGGGCACCCGGGCACCCCCGGGCACGCCCGGGCACCCGGGCACCCGGCACCCGGGCACCCGGGCACCCCCGGGCACCCGGGCACCTGGGCGTGCAGCGAAAATCGCCGACAAACCTGACCTAACCATATGAATCCGCTAGGACCCCTGCAGAGGCAAGCTCTGATTGGGGAATAACAGCTTGTAGTCTCATCAAATCATTCAGCTTTGACATGTTCTGATCACGTTTGGGGAGGTCTCTACACAGCAGGCCTCGGGCACTCCACGAATCAATTTTGCACGGAATGGGAGCGCCTGGCCGCAGCCATGGTGTCCAGCGTGAGCTAGGACGACGACCAGCTGGTGGTATCCACAGCGCGGAAGAGCTGCCTGAAAGAGACCATGATGGCCGACGTGTCCAGTTGTAGCTGTGATCGCTGACTTTCGACGCCTCGCCGATGCCCATCGCCACGACCTCTGCCACCGGCGTCGAACACAATGGATGAGGCCCATGTTGCGACGCATCCACCAGTCACCTGCATTTGCCTGCTGGCAGAGACCCATGAGCTTCTTGGCATGAATATCCAGCCTGATCGCCTTCGGGCTTTTGTCCACGTTGACGCAAAGCCTCTCATGCATGCCATCGGCTGCTTGCACTGTGAACTCTCTCCACTTGCCACTCTGCAGCTCGAGATGCTTCGCAAGCTGCAATGCTCTCGCCTTGCCCTCCGCTGCGCCAGGTACATAGACATGTAACCTCTTGGCAGGCTCATTATTGCTGGACTTGGTGCTGTCGGACTCCAACGCTGCTGCCTGCAACCATGGTGCCAGGGCCACCAGCAGAGCCTGTGGGGTGCAGGCCTTGCTGCAGTTGGCCACAAAGAGCTGCGGGTCATGGGGCCGATCCCACTTGGCAATGCGCAGCAAGTCTGGCGCATCGCTGCGGCCAAGCTCGCCCACCTGCGCCAGCGTCTGCTGCATGCCTTTGATCTGCTCTCGCATCTGGGAGCTCTCGGTGGCCAGCCTGCCAGTGGTGGAGTTGAGCATCTCGATGTCTCGCTGGTGCTTGTCGATCCGCTCCGCTTGAGGCTTGATCCTGGCGTCAATCTCTGCTGAGATGGAGCTGAAGGAGGCCGTGACCGTCGCCTGGATGGCGTTGGAGGCATCCTCCACCTGCTTATTGAGGGAGGCCTAGATGCGCTGCTCGAGCGCGGCAGTGCCACTCTGCATGTGGCTGGCTGTGTTCCCGTCGATGGGTGGTCGCCACGGATCTTGAGCATGTAGTGGATCTTCGGCCGAAGCAGCAGCGGCGCCAGACCCTGAGGGGGCGGAGCGCCTATCACCAGATCTGCTCCTCCTCCCTGGCTCGCGAGCCGACGCAGCGCCAGCGACTCCCATGCTAGCTGTGCCGCCAGAAGCGGGTGCCACAGCGGGATCAGAAGACAGGGTATGGTGTCAAACTTTGCTCCGCCAGGAGCTCACCCGCACAAAGTGGTTGCAGACTGGCCGCGGACTAGCGGTAGCCGTGCTCTGCTACGGAAGATGGAGGAGGAGGAGGAGGAGGAGGAGGAGGACGGGTCGCCTAAGCCATCCGGAGAAACCCTCCAGGACGAGCGTGCGAAGGGCAGAGACGCTGGAGATCAGTTCTTTTTCTTGACGATGTAGGACGACGCCAGGACGAGAATAACATCGGGTAAGGATACATCGAGAATCTCTGAGATCCAGCGGTCTGCAGGATGTCTCGGGCGCCGCGGCCTTCTCAGAGCGTTCCAGATCGCTCTCAAACGTTCCGGAACGCACTGGAACAAATTTATCCTCGTCCTAGCCCCGCCCGACGACGATAACCCGAGTTACCCGGTGGACGGCGGGAGGTACCAGCCGATAACCTGACCTTCCCGCTTTGGGCAGCCCCACGTGTGCCCGTGCGCACCAGCACTGCGCAGCCCCGTCGGACCTGCGCAACGGTCAAGGTCAGGTTATCCCGGGGGAGGGGGAGTGGGCGGGCCCGACAACCCAGGTTATCGCTGGATCCTGGGCAGAGGGAAAGGAAGGAAGAGAAGGGCGCGCCGCAGCGGAGGGGGCGTGCACAGCGATAGAAGCATCACTCCCATTTCTAGCAGCCCTGCGGTGCAAAACAACAACGTATACTCGCGCGCGCGCATGCCTAGGCCGAAGCGTGCGCTGGCAGGACCCGCGCTGATGCCCAACGCGAGCGGGGCGCAAGCGATTTCTATCAAACGACGACGATGAAAAGTGTCAGCGTCCCAGCTGATGGGAAGGCGACTCCACCATGCCAGAACAGTTGTTTAAGAACACTGTGCTTCAGTACCCACAGACTAGCGAGCGAGGGGGGAAGAGGGAGGGAGGGCCAGGTTTTCGGACGTTTTTCGCCCTGTTAGAAAACCTCCAAGGGCGCCCCGCGTCGCCACGGCCGGATCCGCCTCGGAGGTCTTGTCCAAGGGCGCCCAGGGATAGGTGCAGGGGGCCAATCTTGTGACCCCCGGTCCGAGACCCTCCAGAGGTCCGCGCTGCGACAAACAAGTCACGACGTCGGGGGGTCTGGGGAGGGGGGTAGAGAAGGACAAGGCGCCTGGTGGGGCCTTGAGTTGCATCTTGAGGGGGTCCTTGCCTGCCCCATCGCGCCGCTAACTCCGCGTCGAATCCATCTCGAATCTGGGTCGAATCCTGCAGGCAATCTGATTTTAGGGTAAGAGATTGCGAACCAGAAAAAAAAATACGCGGCGGCGGTTCGCAGTCGCCGAATACTGTTATAGCTACACAGAGGGAAAGAAACAGAGAAGTATAGAAAGAGAAAATGAGAGAGAGAAAGAGAAAACAAACAAAGAACCAAAAAAACAGAGGGAGAGAAACAACAAAAAAAGAACAACATAGAAATGTATCCCCAGCTGTCTGGACCTGCCATGCGCGGAGCGCCTCGATCATCAAGGCATGCCGACTTTTTCTGGAAGAGAGCTCGCCACCAGCGACGGAGCGAGAGAGAGAGAGAGAGAGAGAGAACAGAAGTAGAGCGGCGTCCCGGGCGGTGGACGCGTATCAACCCCAGCCTCGGATCCTGGCCGAGCGCGGCCCAAGTCCCAACGACAGCTCGAAGCGAGAGCCCTGGGCGCGGCGAGAAAAAAAACGCTTCCGTCCATGGAGGAAAGACAAAAACTGCACTAACTCCGCGCGGACTTCTTGGATCTGCGCTGGGCACCCCTCCCTGGCGCGCGTAGGGGGCCGGGGGCGGCGCCAGAGGCTCTGCCAGGGGGGCCAGGCGCGGATCCGAGAGATCTGCGCGGAGCTCCGGCCGTTTCTGACCCCGCATTGGCGTCTTCGCGTCCGGGGTGCTCGTGCAGGTCCCGTGATGCAGCTGCGCGCGCACACCGCCGACGCGTCGAGCGAGCGCCCTCCCCGAGAGGGCGGCTCGCGCGGCCTGCACCGCCTCGACCGTGGCGGCCGCGGGGGCGCGCCCGCCGGCAGGAGAGCGAGCGCGCGCCCAGCCGGGACGCACCGCGAGGCATGCGCTGGCGAAGGCGGCCGCGAGACCACCGCGGACGACGACGACGGCGGCGGCGACGCTGACGCTGACGCTGACGACGACGACGACGACGACCACCACCACCACCACCACGACCACGACCACGGCCACGACCACGACCACGACCACGACCACGACCACGACCACGACCACGACCACGACCACGGCCACGACCACGACCACAACGACCACAACGCTGACCGCGATCCTTTCGCCGCTCGCGGCAGCGGGCGGGGGCCGCCGCGGCCGCGGCGCCCAGGGCGGCACGGCGGCCACAGGCGCACCCTCGCCGTACGTCCGCCGCTCGCCAGGGCCAAGCTCAGCCCCCCGCGTTCTCGAACAGGCGGTTCGCGGCAACCTCCTGGTTGCGCTCGCACGCCAGGTAGGCCTCCAGCGCCTGCTGCCGGCTGAAGCCCAGGTCCTGCAAGTCCTGCACGGCCTGCTGGTCCTCTTCGCATGGGGGACGGGTCCTGCGGGAAACGGTTCCTGGACCCCTGGGCCTCCCCCCAAGACGAGTTCTTCATCCTGAGTCGTTGACTGACATTCCCGGGGCCCGTGGAGGGCCCAGGGAAGCCAAAAACGGAGGAAAACCTCAAAACCCGTCTCCCTCAGGACCCGCTTCCCCAGGGCAATCCTTGGCCGACAGCTTCGGCGGCTGCGGCGCCGCGCCGAACGCCGCGGGGTGCGCGACGGCCTGCGGCGCGGCGGCCACCGTGGCGGCGGATGTGCACATGGCTCCGCCAGACCCGGCAGGCGCAACAGGCAGCGGCTCCTGCAACATGTCCACGAACTCCTGCTGGTGCTCCGTGATCAGCGCAATGAGGCCTGCTGGGCTCGAGATAAACAGTGTGTTTCTTCGTCTTCGTTTTGTTTTCGCTGTCCTTCGTCCTGTCGTCGTTCTGCCTCTGCTGCGAGACGAACTCGAAACGACGAATGCCCACGAAGTCGCCAAAAAACCGTTTCGCTCGAGCCCTGCGATGAGGCCTGGCTCCGTCCTGTGCACCCCGCACAGCACCCTGCTCAGCGCGTGGGGCTGCTGCTGCACGGCCGCCCTCAGCTGCTGGAAGGCCGGGTGCCCCCTGAGCGCCTCCAGGGGCCCCGCGCAGCTGGACGCCTGCGGCGCGGGGGCCAGAGGCTCTGGCGCCCCCGGCGCCCTTGTGCCTGAGGGGAGGCGACACTGCCGAAAATATGACACCTCTCCAGACGCTCGACTGTAGGGGGGGGGCTGGCCCCGGGGGGGGGGGGGAGAGCACTGGCCGGGGGTCGGCGATGCATCGGCGACAGCTCGGCGACGGCGGGCCCCAGGTAGCGAAACCGCGCCTCCCTGCACGGGCGCGGTGGGGAGCCTGGGCCCCGAACTACAGGCGATGGATGGGCGATGGCGGGCCGCCCCGCCCCCCCCCCCCCCCTCGGAGCCTGTCCCCAAAAGGCTTCGGGATCAGACCTCGGGCCTCCGGCGGCCGCTCGGGAGGGTCCGGGCACCCCCGGAAACGCCCTCGGCGAGGCGCCGCTGCTGGAGAGCTCCCCGAGGCTGGACCGCCGCAAACCCCGAACCTGGAAGCCTCACGTTACCCCCTGGACGCCCGACATGAGGCTCTCCAGGGCGAGGCTCGGGTCGCCTTGGCACGAAGCAAACGGGTAACTACTGAGGGGAACGTTAGACGCTCGATCTGGAGACCTCATTGAAGCCACTCGCTACACTCATGCGTCGATGCTGCGTCGAACACCCGTCGACTGGAGTCGAACTTGAGTCGAACTTGAGACGAGCTAGAGTCGAGCTGGAGCCAAACTAGAGTCGAGCAGATCCGCGAGGTGGGCCCCATGAGGGTCCCCAAAACGAGCACATGAGAAAATCGGGCCCTGGCCTCCTGGGCCTTCCCCCAGGACCAGCTCCTCGTCCGGAGCAGCTCGTCCGGCCCGCGGAGGGCGCCCCCCCTCGGCCCGAGCCCGGAGGCAGCGGCAAAAACCGTCAGGGCCCGGTTCCCCTCAGGACCCCTTTGCTGCACTCGGCGGCGAGAGCCCAGGGGGGGGGGGAAGCGAGAGGGAGCAGGCCCTCCCGGAAGGCGGCGGGGCGTCTCGGAAGCGAAGCCGCCGCGCCTTCCGAGGAGCCGCCTGTGGCCTCAGAGAAGGCTCCCAAGGCTCCTCGGAAGCCCCGCTGCCTTCCGAGAGGAAAGGCCTCCCGAATTGGATCCGAGTGGATGGGGTCGGAGCATCGCCGATGCATCGGCGATGCATCGGCGATGCATCGGCGATGCATCGGCGTGGGGAAAATCGGGCCCCACATCGATCCGCATCGCCGATGCATCGGCCATGCGGCGCGATCCTGCGACCCCATCTGCTCTGACCCCGTCTGGGAGGCCTGGGGAGGCGGCGACGCGCGTTCATCTTTGCGCCCTCGCGCCGCCTCCCTGGAGAAGGGCGCCTCTCGAACCCAGGCTGCGATGCACGAAGCGCGATTGCCTTCGCGCACCTGGGGTTGCCCTGGCCTGCCGCCTCTCACTTCTGAGTCCTGAGGGTCAAAGATAGGGGGGGGGGACTGGCACAAGGGGGCGGCGGGGGGGGGGAACTCGACTCGGCATCGGCGATACATGTCCGATAGATCGGCGATAGGGCCCCGATGACACGTCCCCGCGTCCCTGGGCAGACTGGGGCCGTCGGGCCCCTACAGGCGATGGATGGGCGATGGCGGGCCGCCGCGCCGCCCCCCCCCCCTCGGAGCCTGTCCCCAAAAGGCTTCGGGATCAGACCTCGGGCCTCCGGCGGCCGCTCGGGAGGGTCCGGGCACCCCCGGGAACGCCCTCGGCGAGGCGCCGCTGCTGGAGAGCTCCCCGAGGCTGGACCGCCGCAAACCCCGAACCTGGAAGCCTCACGTTGCCCCCTGGACGCCCGACATGAGGCTCTCCAGGGCGAGGCTCGGGTCGCCTTGGCACGAAGCAAACGGGTACTGAGGGGAACGTTAGATGCTCGGCGAGGCGCCGCTGCTGGAGAGCACCCCGAGGCTGGACCGCCGCAGGCCCCGAACCTGGAACCCACACGCTGCCCCCATCGACGCCCTGAGCCGAACTCCCCCCCCCCCGATCGTTGGCCCCCTCTCGCTTCCCCCCCCGGGCTCGCCGCCGATGCCTGGCGGTCGCCGCCGGCCGCGCGCAGGCAGCGCTCCACGGCGGGCCGCTGGAAGCCCAGGTCGCAGAGCAGGGCGGCGGCGGCCTCGCTCGGCGCGGCGGCCAGCTCGCTCGGGGGCGCGGCGGGGGCCGGCGGCGCGGGTGCCTTGGCGGGCACGGCGACGACGAGGCTGCCCTCCTGCGCGAGGGGCGAACAGGACGCACAAGGATCTAAGCCCGGCCCGAACCTCCAGAGCGAAATCCGCCGACCCTTCGGCGCGTGTGAGGCGCGTTTCCGCTTTCGCCGTCGCCGTCGTCGTCGTCGCCGTCGCCAGTCCCGGTGAAATTGAGGAACAAGGAACAGGAACGTCGTACTTCAGTCGGTTTGTTTCACATGATCCCTTCCCGAGGGGGGGCCGGGTCAGTTTGGGGGGGTGGTCCCCGGTCCGCGAGGGGGGGTCCCAGGTCAGAATGCCGCTCCCCCACTGGGGTCCCGGTGGGTCCCCGGGGGGGGGTCGCCAGCGAGGGTCCCTGGGGAAATCCGCCTTCGGGGTCGGCGGCACCGGCCGTGAAACCTTCAGGCCTTTGCAATTTTGTAGTGTTAAGTCGGGCGTGTCCCCCTACAGGCGGATTTTGGAGGATAGATTACAAAAAACTAACCAAAAATGGTCGAAGCATCGCTCCCATAGTATATTCTGACTATTTGGGGATATCCCTCCTGTGTAGGGATAGGCCCGACTTCATTGTAGTGTGTCGTTGCGTGAGCGGTATGGCCAGAAAGCGCCCGCCACGGAGCTGATAGTATTGTAAGACTTCCGAGCGTGCGCGTCGCCCTCGGGTGGCCGACGAACACGTAGCATAAGCATGTTTGGGTGGTGCCGAGCCGAGCCCAGAGAAGAGGAAAAAATGAACAACAACAAAAAACGCCGTGCACGACACAGGTGCGTTGGCCGACACAGGTGCGTTGGCCAATGGGCGAAAGCGTGAGTCAAACGTGTGCTGAGACACGCGCACGTGAGCACTGATTGGACGGTCGTATGGCGTCGCAGTACTTCTGCACTGCGAAAACCCGCGCCGTCGCCGATTGAACTGTGTTGCGCAAAGGCGCCGGGAGGACCTCCATACCCCCGCCAGCTGCGCAGGCGTGTCGGTAAACCTCTTGCGGCCATGACATCCGCAGGCGCCCCCGTTTTCTCTGCCTGGGCGGCTGCGCCAGGAGGGACCAAGGAGACACCGATACAGTGAGGACATCGGATAATTTGTTATATATGTTGTTTTGTTTTTCCCCCCGAGCGGCCCTCGTAGAAATAAATCCGCCGACCCTGTCGGCGTGTGCGAGGGGCTTGGCTGTTCGAGTCGTCGTCTCCGTCGGTCGTCGCCTCCGTCGTCCCCTTTCCCTACAGCTTCCTTCTCAAGCTCGTGAGCGAGAGAAAAATCTAGCAGTGTCGTAATCGAGTCGAAGGGAAGCCCCTTCCCTTCGATCCCTTCCCCAGGGGGGGGGGTCCCGGGGGGGGTCCCAGGAGGGGTGGGGGGGGGAATGGGGGGGCAGATTCGTTTTCCCTCGGGCGGCCTAGAAACCTCGAAAACACTCCAAATGAGGTCCGAATGCCCAAGATGGCCCCCGAGACAGCCCAAGAGGGCCCCGAGTCGCCCAAAGATCGGCCGAAAACGCCCACGATAGCCCCAAGACCGTCCAAGAAGCCTCCAAGACGTCCCAGGCCCCCTCCAAGAGACCCCCAGGAAGCCCCAAGAGGCCCCCACGAGGCTTCCAAGCGGCCCCTGAGAGCTTCCCAAGAGGCCCACAAACTACCCCCAAGAGGCCCCCAAGAGCGCTCGTCGTCGTCGTCGTCGTCGTCGTCGTCGTCGTCGTCGTCGTCGTCGTCGTCGTCGTCGTCGTCGTCGTCGTCGTCGTCGTCGTCGTCGTCGTCGTCGTCGTCGCCATTCAGGGTCGGCGGCACCGGCCGTAAGGCCTTCGCAATAGTTGTTCCTGTCCGCTGAAACGCGTGCCCCGCCAGAATCAGGCACGGTAGAGAGATCACACACCAGGGGCAAACATTGTGTGAACGCCCCGCCCCAGCTGGGCTGCAGATTTCTACGCCCACACGGCGGCCCAACGACCTGGGTACGTACGGCAATACCACGCCACTAGAAACGAACTCGCGCGTGCGCACCCCTTTTCCGATGAACGCCGCATGCGAATGAGGTGCTCAAAGACCAGCTCCGCACCAACGGAACCAACACGTCAGAGAAAGGCAAGGCAAAGCAGAGATAAGGAACCCTTGGATAAAGAATCCAGGGTTTAGAAGCCGGTGGAACTCCAATCGAGGCTTGGCCATGAAGATCACCGCCGCCCTCCTCAGATAAGAAATCCTCTGGGGTCTGAAGCCTCCGAGGCGCATTCCTTAACCGACGCCCCCACCGTACAGCCAAGCCGATGATTAAGCAACGATTCGCCTAAGAATTCTGGACCAGCCTTCGGGCGAAATCCTGGGCAAACGCCAGACTGGTCCTGCCCTCACGGTCTCATGCACGCGCAGGGGGTCATAAACTGGGCCAAGCCTGCTGGAAGGTTGCCGAAGAAGCACTGGGCCAGGCAAGCGAAGGGGGGTTCTTAATGATCGATGCAGATGTAAGCACATGCGATAAGATATCTTGCTCTAGGGACTCTCCTCCCGCAACTATTTATCTCCGGCACTCAGGAAGCGTTGCGATGGTCGGAGCCGTGAGCGCAACGAACCGAGACGATTGACAAGGCACGAATCGCAAATACAAATCGGCTCCCTGGAGGTGCGGGGAGGTGGGTGGGTGACGGCTGAAGCCACTGCTCCCGTCCCAAAGCCTACAAGTCAGGCTTAACTCCTCCCGCAACTATTTATCTCCGGCACTCAGGAAGCGTTGCTATGGTCGGAGCCGTGAGCGCAACGAACCGAGACGATTGACAAGGCACGAAACGCCAATACAAATCGGCTCCCTGACCCAAACCTCCAAACATGCTAAGCGAGACACACAGCATGCATGAAGACACTTCCCAGGCTGTGAGACAAGCAGCAAGCACTCAGTTTTTGCCACGCACGGGAGAGGCTACGGCCCGTGCAAGCAGGCATGGCAGCGCAGCGGCGAAGCTCCCCACGAGCTCTCGTGAGGCCTGCGACAAGTTCGGCACGAACGCCACCGCCGCCACCTCCCGGATGTAGATCTCCATGGACTTGAGCTGCCTCCACCTGCCCCTCCACTGGGTGCGCGGCAGGTCCTCGGACTGCTGGAAAAAGAAAGTGGCACCGCCGCCACGATGAGATACTGGCGTCAGGCCATGCGCCTCCGTGGCCGCGATGCCGAAGAAATGCACCAGCGCGTCGTGGCACCGCCGGAACTGCTGGTAGGAGCCGCTGAAGATCTTCTTTCCAGGCGGCTGCCCTGCCGCCAGCACCTCCAGCAGCCTGACCAACGCCACCTCGTCGCACCTGGCGTGCTCCATGCGAGCCACCGCCCAGCGGGCCTTGGGCTCGCGCACCTTGACGTAGCACACCTCGTTGTCAGCCATCAGCTGAGACGGCAACAAGATGTCCGAATAGGTCAGACCGTGGGCCTCGCCGGGCCGCAGCATGCATGTGAAGGCCAGGAAGATGAGGACGGCCATGCCTATCCACTTCCAGCTGAGCGCCAAGGCCACTAGCGCGCGCAACACTGGCAGCGGCGTGGGGAAGCGATGACGCGTCGGCACGGCGTACTGCCACGCCTGCGACACATCCCACGCCGCGCCCATGTGTCGGCGCAATGACCTCTCCACGTCCACGATCGCGTTGATGGTCTCCGCGTAGTGCTTCAGACTCCTGCCGCGCGAGTAAAGCACCTGGCCGTACGAGGCGACGATGTTGGAGACCACCCGCGGCAGCTGCACCACCAGCTCCGCCACCGAGCAGCCGCCGTCCAGCGCCAGGAGCCACGTCTCGAACTGCTTCAGCAGCAGGCGCCTCATCAGTGCCGTCTTGGTGCTCGTCTGCGGCCGCAGGCGGAGGTCGACCGCGGGCCGAGGATCGGGCGGCTCGCCTGCCACGCGAGCGCCACTCGTCATCATCATCACGCTGACCCAAACCACGGCGATCAGCCTGCATCCGCCTGAAGCCAAGCTGGCAGGGCCCTCGCCAGGGTAGCCGAGCGTGCTGTCGAAGTCCTTCTGCGTCCACAAGAGCAGCTTGAACGTCATGCGGCACCACTCCGACTCGGCGCGCCGCTGGCGCGGCACGCGCGTCCACTGGTCGAGGCTACGCAAGTCACCAGCTGCAGCCGAGCGCCACCAAGCGGGCGGCGAGGCCGACAACGGGGCGATGCCGCGGCCCCGAGACGGCCCGTCGGCGGGGATCAGGCGCGCGGGCGCAAAGTCGTACCCCGGGTACACGTCGAACCCAAGCACATCGGGCAGGCCCACCTTCAGGTCGTCGTTGAGCGCGCGCGACGCCGACCTACCCTTCGAGCAGGCACCCAGCGCCACGGTCGAGTCCAGCAGGAACGGCTGTCGGGCCCCCAGCTGCTGCCGCGCCGCCTTCGCCCTCGCTCTCAGGTGGGCGCGCACCTCCAGGCGGTTGACGTGCGTCGCCGGCGGGCAGGGGTCACAGGTGAAAGCGCGCCAACGGCAGCAGCGGATCAGGTCGTTGACAAAAGGCTGCTCCAGTCGCCCGCCAGCCGCGGCCGGCGCCTGCTCGGGTCCGCCCAGCGGGGCCCGGGCTGCCAGATGCGCCCGCGTCAGCTCGACCCAGATGGCGCACAGCTCGGCCGTGTAGGCCGCCGCCGGCGCCGCGCGCGCCGCACCGACCAGCGGGCGGCTATGCGCACGGCGCCCATGCACGCAGGGGCGGGACAGCGGCTGCAGGAAGCCGCCGTTCACCAGACCTAGCCGCGTCGGCTTCTGGCACGGCGCGCCGAGCACAGGCCGCAAAGTCCAGTGAGCCACAGCCGGGTTTGGCGAGCAGCGACCGCATCGCCGGCACGCACCACGAATAAGCGCCAGCGGGATGCTCCATGAACCCGAGCCTGTCGTACTTGAGCGCGGTCCACAGGATGAGGAGCACCCTGTAGAGCAGGACGGTACCCAGGCGCGTCGCAGGATCAGTAGGATCCAGGCCCAGCGGCCGGGCTCGCGAGCGCACCCGCGGCTGCCGCGCCAACGAAAACGTGGCGCACGGCGGGGCGCAGTGCACGTAG